GTAGAGCACTCACCTTGAGCTAAAGAGCTGAGGGACAGCGCCCAGGCCCAGAGTTCAAGCCTCACAACCCACCAAAAAAAAAAAAAAGTTTCATGGACTTTCCTGCCCAGGCTGGCTTTGAACCACAATCCTCAGAGCTCAGCCTCCTGAGTAGCTGGGATGACAGGTGTGAGCCACCGTATCCGGCAATCACCATCTCCAGGGCCCTTTGCCTCCTGCCACACCCCTCCTGTCCCAGTTTGTTCCTCCTGTCCCCCAGTGGCAAGAGGAGACCACGGTGTGTGTGTGGGGGGGGGCTTCAACCATGCCTATGGCCCAGAGTGGCAGTGTGCCCGCCCCAGTGGCACAGCACACAAAGGCAGGGGTGTTGACAGCTCCATACTGAGCTGAGCCTCGTGGGCTGGGCCGCATCAGGTACAGCCTCGGCCTCCCCCTGGGTGTGGGAAGGCCCAGGACCCCCCCCTCCTATCAGTGTAGTGGGGGTAGCCACAAGTGGACCAAGAAGCCCCCACTTAGATGATGGCCCGGACTCCACTGTGGGACACTCATCCCAGGCTCTTGGGAGACCCCCCACAACTTCTTTATGGAAATGGGCGTCTACCCCTTTAACACTGGAGAACCATAGAGGATTCCACCCCCTCCCATGCCCACTGCCCACATGCCCACTGCCAGGCGTGCAGAGAAGGGTACTACTCCTGCCAGTGCCTGAGGCCCGGCCCCACCTCAGATCCCTCCCTCCCCACGGCGCTGGGGGAAGGGGTATCGATGGGGCGAGGAGGGTGCCCGGGCCCTGCCCTGCGCGCTGAGACCAATGTCCCCAGAAAGGCTGGGCCTGGGTGGCTCACGCCTGTCATCCCACCCACTCAGGAGGCTGAGATTGGAGGATCACAGTTCCAAGCCACCCTGATCGCCAATGAGCCAGCAAAAACCCAGACGTAGGAGCAGTGTGGCTCAAGTGGTAGAGCACCAGCCTGGAGCAATAAATAAATACATAAGCTCAGGGACTGCGTCCAGGCCCTGAGTTGGAGCCACTATACTGGTTTAAATTTAAAATGAAAAAAAAAGGGGGGTAGCCATTGCTAGCTATGGAGCAGAGGAAAGACAGAATGGAGGGGGGGGAAATCTCTGAGAGCAGCCGGCCCCTCCTGGCCCTGGGGCAGGCAGTAGAGGGGGGCGGGACCCCAGGAGAATGTGGTGTGCTGTACCACATGTACACACACACACACACACACACACCCCTGGCCCTCAAGGCTCAGCTGTGACGCAGACTGCGACCCTGAACATGAAGCCGCTGCTGCCTGTAGTCTGAGCCCTCTCAGCCCAGCTGTGCAACCAAGGCCACAGCTCTGTGGTGATGGTGGTCAGGAGGGGACGAGGGGGGGGCGGTAAATGGAGGCCAAGGACCCACTCCTCCCCTCCCCCGTAACGCCTCAGAGAGGGTAACCACATTGGGGCTGGGATAAAGGCTGTCCTTCCCCTCCCTCCAAAGAGACCCTCAGTGGGGCCTTTGCTTTACCAGCCCCCGGGGATGAGGGGTATGAGAGTCTCTTCTCCAGTGAACCACAAGGTCGGAAGTGGAGCTGTGTCTCAAGTGGCAGAGCACTAGCTTGGAGCAAAAAGCCCAGGGACAGTACCCAGACCCTGACTTCAAGCTCCAGGACTAGCGATCTGAGGATACTAGATGGGCATCAGGGTCAGTGCTGAGGTCAAGGCCCCCAGAGAAGCTGGGTGCTGGTGCACATGCCTGTAGTCCTAGCTACTCAGGAGGCTGAAATCTGAGGTCTGGTGAAGCCGGGGTGGGTGCTGGGGAATTCGAGCCTGGTGTGTGGGACCCCCTCCCTCAGAAGCCCCTTGTAGAGGTCAATTCCTCATCGAGGCTGAACCACCCAGCGGGAGGGGCCCAGGGGGATGCTGAGGACTGAGCTCTTCTTCTTGGGACCCCATCTGAGATGAAGGCCTCCCCAGTATCTGTACACACACACACCAAAGAAAGCCCGTGAACTCAGTTTATTCATCGCCCTGTGCATTTACAAGCAGACCTATTATGTTTGCCAAACTTGGGTCACACGGGTATTAATCATTCTTTGTGTCCTGTTTGCATTTTGTATGGGGGGGAGGGAGGAGAGTCATGGCAGGATCACACGGCTTAAGAAAAGTCTCAGGCCTGACATGGTGGCATACACCTGTAATCCCAGCCACATAGGAGGCAGGGATCGGGAGGATCATAGTGCAAGGCCGGCCCTGGTGCTCATAGGAATGCCGGGAATATGTCTAGACAGATGGGGTCTGGGCTGTGTGTGTGTGTGTGTGCCCGTGTGCACATGGCCGGTACTGGAGCTTAAACTCAGGGTCTCACACTCTTGCTGGCTTTTTTAAATTTATTTTTTACTTAGTTTTGTTCGGTTGTGGGGCTTGAACTCTGGGTCTGGATGCTGTCCCTCAGCTCTTGAGCTCAAGGCGAGTGCTCTACCACTTGAGCCACAGCACCACTTCTGGTTTTCTGAGCGGTTTATTGGAGATGAGAGTCTCATGGACTCTCTTGCCCAGGCTGGCTTTGAACCGTGATTCTCATATCTCAGCCTCCTGAGCAGCTAGGATGACGGGCCTGAGCCACTGGCGCTGGTCTGGATTTTAGGGGCCACAGCTGGAGCTCCTGGGGCACCTGGGCCCTGGGGGTGACCCACTGATCTGGGGGGTGAGCTGGGGGGTGACCCGCTGATCTGAGGGGTCAGTGGGGGGTGACCCACTGATCTGGGGGTGAGTGGGGG